ACATATAAATCCGTGTAAAAATTTTTTGTCAACAGATGTCGCGAATAAACGGAAAGAAATTCTTGACAAATATGAGGAATGTGTAGAGCATGTATTAATTTGCATATACCATGTTAAATCATGAGTTTTTTCTGTATGAATGTGATGTTATCACTGCATAGAATTGTACATGTGCTCATTGTTTAGCAATGTACCCAAAGAGTCTTACACTAATGTGCGCTAACAAAGAGTGCTTTATCAGTATGAGCTAACAAAGGTGCTAATCTTTGTAATCGTAAAACCAATAAATCCTGCAAATAGTTATGTAAGAAACTTTCAAGAATACAAAAATTTTCCACTTTAACAGATAAATTGTAAAAAGTTACGAAAATTGCTTCAGCAATTGAATAACTGAATATGAAATCAAGAAATAAACAATTTATGTATTCCAACTTTCTTTTTTAATGTCACTTTTTAATAATTTTATAGTCAAAATTTAAAATTCAATCAGTCAAAACACATCCTTTACTTAATTTAATAATTCTGATTTTCATTAATCTTTTTATTTTTGCGAATATCTGTGACAGAATGAGACAAGCAGAATTATGGAATATAATGCTATATTTTTGTGATGTAATTGAATAAATAAATATGAATATAATGAATAAATGTTGTAAAATATATTGCTGTAGAAATAAATATATTGTAAAATAAGCAATATACAATGATGAATGTAATATTGCATATAATATATTATACATATTATAAAATTATATACTTATATATTTTAATTAGTCCACAAAGCCTTCACACAGAGAATTTTATTAAGACATATATTACATATACATATGTGTCATCTTATAAGAGTCAATTATTCACCTGTTTTATTTATTAAACAATTGCTTGTCAAAAATTTTTTTCCTTATGATTTTAAAAAACCCTATGAATAATAATAAATTAAATAACTTTATCTGGATAGTTTTTCTTTTTTTTTTTTAAAAAAAAAAAGCAATATGTGAGCAGACTTCAATGTCTTGTTCAATTTGACGTCCGGTAATTGTCGCATATTCGATGACTAAAATGTTCAATTGATAAGCTGGTAGTAATCCAATGATATTTTTTATTGTTGTTTTATCAATTTTCTTCTTTTCTCCCAATATTTTCTTCAGTTCCTGCAAATATCATTTTATCATTCATGTTTTCTAATCGTAAAATTATCCTTATCAATAAAGTGTTGAAGGATAAGCAATAATGGCATCTATAAGAGTGACCTTATGGTACATCAACTTACTTGCTTAATCTTCTCCATATCAACGATATTGTCATTTGTTACGGTGATCGCTTTCTGAATAACGGTTAGCAAAATGTCTTTCAGATCACCACTTACACGTGAAGCTATATCAGTTTCCAGTTCATTTCCTGTTATTGTTTGGTATTCATTTTTGATCGCAGCTATTTCCAAATCAGTTCGTAAGCAAAGAATTTCGATTAGTATAGATTCATTGATATTTGCTTCCTGAAATCAGTATAACATCAGTAATCAACATGATATATTAGTAGTGAAATATAGAGGAGCAATTTATGACCGAGGAGGAAGCAATTCTTAATTGATCCTAATTATAATCGTATTTAGACAATGAAATTGAAGGAAAAGAAAAGTAGAAATAATACATGTTTTCTGAAACTATTTGGAGCTGACCTATAATCAAAGAATAGAATTTAGATAATTATAGAAAATAAATTTATGTTTTTCGGTAAATTATAGAATGAATCACATTGTATTTATTGAAATATTAAAATAAATAAATAACTTATTTAACTACGTACATTTCGAATTAATATATTAGTTTCAGTAATGAAGGAAGTATTTGTTCAAAATTGGTTCAATTTCCAAAGCTAACCAATATTTTTTTCATACTATAATTTACACTTAGCAGTTGAAGTGTTTTAAAATTTAAGAGAACTAATAAATTGTACATTTATTTCATCTTTTCATTTACTTTTTAATTTACTTTCCCTTTTAATCGAACCATTTCATCTTTCACTTTTAGATATTAATTTAAATTGAACAAAACTAATTACACTTTTTATCAGTTATAATCTTTTTTGTAATGTAACCATAATCTTTCCTTCCTTTTTTTTGCCATATAAATCATACGTGATACTTTTATATTAAACAAAAATTAGTTTAGCAAAATTTCAGGTTTGTTAAATTAATTTTATTATGAAAAGTAAATAAAACACTAAATGTAGCATTTGCTACTTTAAATTACGAATTAAATTTGCTTTGTTTTGAAATATAAATGCAAACAAAAAAATGAAACTTACATTAATTGCTTTAATAAGTTGTAAAGTATCATATTTGGTTGGGGTTTCCATAAGTGCCAAAATGATATCTCTGTAATCACCGGATAGTCCATTCATTAGATCGATCATTAAATCTTTATTGTATCTTGTCTTATATGGTGTTTTAATCTGAACAAAAATATTTACTTAATCATTTCATTAGAATAAAATAATTAAAGGGAATTAAAGAAAATAAAGGCGAAATAAAGGAGAGGTGAAGAGAGAGTGGAAAAAGAAAGAATGAAAGAAAAAAATAGTAATTTAATTCCTTTTGAAAGATTATTTCACTTATTCTTTAGTTCTATTTGCTAATTATCTCATTTATCAAAATGATGCTGATTCAATTAATAATTTAATCTCAATTCATTTCTTGTGAATTTAAATTTAAAAAAAAAAGTAAAATACTAATTGTAATTTTTACCATTCTAAATTATGGATTAAATTTGCTTCATTTTGAAATTATTAAATTAAAATTATAACCATTTGTCGCTGTGTATTGTTAATCTGTGTAAGTAATTGAAATATTTGCATTTTGTTGGCTTCCGTTTTTGATGCTAATAGTTTTGCCAACAAATCTGCCGCTTTATCGTCATCAAATGGAAATTTTGCGCCAATTGTTCCGCGATATGTATTATTTGTCCCAAGCATAATTTTCGAAAAAATTTTCAATCGATCAATGAAAAAAGTTACATGTAATAAAAACATGGCAAAAACAAATTTACACTTATTTTTTTAAACCAAATCATTCAATGATTTGAAATTCTCTTAAAGCCTTTAAAATAATAACTTTTAAATATCAAATTTATGCTTTGAAAAATACAAATTATAATTTGCAAAGAAAAATAGCGAAATTTCTTCGCTTTTTCGGCTTCTATCTAATTAACACTTTTTTTTCCATGCAAAATAAATTCACTATTGATTTCGATGGTTACGAATGTTCGTGAAAAAACGTGAATGACGTGAAACGTTTCAAAATGATGGCCTTTTTTTCCAAGTTGATATTGAGAAAAAGGATGGATAATAACATAAAACACTTCAAAATGGATATTGAGAAGTGGATAATGAGAAAAATGTAAATGACATGAATATTAACAGGAAAAATAACCTTATCAAACATTTAATATGCCATCTTTGCTGCAAAAGATAGGAAGCAAAATTATAAAGACGAGTGGAATCATTAGTGGTATTAGTGATTATCAATCATTTGATAACGTTTAATATTATCAGTTCGTTCAGTCGATGATTACTATTTTATTTTTTTTTTATTTTCAAAATTTCAATCCTATATTCACAAAGGATAAAAATTTATTCGATAATTCCACACATTTCTCTCCTTCATCGTGTAACGTCAATACGATAAATAGAAATTAATTTAATATAGGTATACATTTATTTTTAAATTAAATCGTTTCATAAATTATCATTGTCATTTTATGTTGATATCATCCAAAATTATTATTATTAATATTTTAATTATCATCCATATGTCGCGAATTTTTGATTCGCGAGACTCC